CTCTTTGAACACAACTATAATTTTCCTTCTTCTAAAGGCCCATAAATCTGATTTTTCAATGATTTTCTTCAATCAAAAAGATGATTTTTCAATGATTTTCCCTTATATAAAGAGAAAAAAGCTGGTTTCTCAGTGAATTTCCTTCATCTAAAGACCCAAAAAGCTGATTTTTAATTTATTTTCCTTCATCTAAAGCCCTAAAAAGCTGATTTCTAAATGATTTTCCTTCATCTAAAGCCCTAAAAAGCTGGTTTCTCAGTGGTTTTCTACAGAATTCCCCACTCAGATGTCCCTCCATTTAAATGGATCCCACACAGTATCCTCTCCTTTCTCAGGTCACATGGGACAGCAGCCCTGCTCCCATTGGCCCGTTTGGATCAAACGTCTAACAGCATTTTCCTTTAGATTTAAACAGTAGTATCTGATGGCGTCTGCTATGAGGCCCAGAGGTCAAAGGTCGAATAAAAGAGAGGGATCCTGGAACAGAGCGTCCTCCATCAGAACAGGAGATCTGGAGGTTAATCAGATTAATCAATACCATATTTATTTATCTATTTATTTTCAAACATACTGGGACTGCAAACATCTGCCCCAGACCGTTTTCAGTTCAAGACCACACCATGATAACCAAACAACAGGAATAAGAAACATGAATCACTAGTGAAGGACGAGAATTTAAATAGTTCTGGTTAGAGAAAAATAAATCCGGTTCAGTGCTTTTCAGAAAAATAACGCGTTCAGACTCCGCTGAACTTTGGGTGCTTCACTTAAAGGCATTTTAATGAAAACATCCAGAATAATGTTAGAACAGACGATAAACAAAAGTCGTTTAGCCACGTTTCTCAGATCCATCCCATCTGAATGAGATTTATCTGTTTAATCCCTGTTATTTTCCTAGACAATTTTCCACATATAAATCTAAATACGATCAAATATTCGACTCAAGACCTGAAGTAAAACATCCAACATACTATGATGTTGAAATAATAGAAAAATATATATAAAAAATTATATAAATAGTAAATTAAATAATAGTAAATTATCTAAGTCAGTTTATGACGTCAAAGTCATAGAAAAATACACATAAAATATCAAATTAAAGAGAAATAAATGAGCTAAGCTAGTTTATTACGTCAAAGTTATAGAAAAGAATACGACATTTCCAAATGAAATCAAAATAAATAATCTAACTTGGTGTAAAGTTCCTGTGTCATTATCTGCTGTATTTATTTAGGAGTTATCGTAGGTTTTTGGAACCAATTCTAGGAATTACAGAGTATTCTGATGGAAGATTTGAACCAACACACCAATATTTAACACAGAAGTCGGTCCTGGACCCACTTAAATACGTATTTAGAGGTCTTTTCTGCTGTAAAAAAGCATAATAAATGCCTGATTTTAAGACAGAAGTCGGTCCTGGAACCAGTTAGATTCGTATTTAGAGGTTCTATATGCACAGAGAAACTGCAGTGACTTCGGGTCATAATTAACGGCGGGTTTTTCTCAGGTTTCAGGCTGATTTTCCGGCGTGGCGTTGCTTTTCTGTGGGGAGCTGAAAGGCTCATCCATTAACCGGGAGTTATTCATGTTTCTCTTTCAAGGCTGATGCGCAGTGGTTTCCCTTTTTCTCCCTTTTTCTGCTCCCTCCTGCAGGATTATTTGTCTGTCACACTCAGCCGAGCCTGTTTTCCCCTCCGCTTTCTCCTGGTTCCCTATCTGCCATCAGCCCGCCGCAGACAGCGGTATGAAGATGCATCCTGATGCCATGCGGCGCATGCTAATTGTTGGAGGAGATGCAGAGCAGTAGCTGGAGGCTCGATCATTTCAGAAAGTGGTATTGAACTGATTCCAATTTGCATGCTGAGTCTTTAGCGGCTGGCTCCACGGTTTGCATCTTTTTGTTGGGGAAAAAGTTTTGGAACAGAAAGTGTCAGAACAGTTCAGCCTCACTTCATTTGCCCTCTGTTTTTTTCCCTGTTATTTTAGACAGGTACAGCGAGCGGATGGAGACACACTCAGATGAAAGCATCCCAACAGTGTTTGTGTCTAATGTACTGGAGACCCAAACCGACTCACCTCTCTGGGGGAAGGAACTGGGGAACAGCATCTCCAGTAGCTCATGTTCAACTAATGGAACTCTTATTTTAAAAGGGTTTGATCAAATATTAAAAGTATGCATTTTCTTGTAAATATATAAACTTTATATTAATTCTTTGAATTAGTCAGCACTCCAGAAGATATTTCTGTACTGCAAGTTAACTAGAAATAACCCTGGTCAAAGTAAATTATTTTTATGAGTATGTCTCAGATGTATAAGACCATTTATTAAGTTAAGATTTGTTATTTTCAGTCTGAAAACGTTGGGCATGAAAACAAATAAAAATGATCTTATGTTAGCTTTGTTTAGGCTAACATTAACTTTATCATGGCTAACGTTATCTTAATTTAGGCTGTCGTTAGCTCAGTTTAGGCTATCGTTAGCTAAATTTAGACTAACATTATCTTCATTTAGACTATCATTAGCTTTACAAAGGTTATGGTTAGCTTAATTTAGGATATCATTAGCTTGATTTAAGCTATTGTTAGCTTTACAGAGGTTATTTTTACCTTAATTTAGGCTATCATTAGCTTAGTTTAGGCTATCGTTAGCTTAATTTAGGCTCACATTACCTTGATTTAGGCAATCGTCAGCTTTAAAGAGGCTAGTGTTATCTTAATTTGGACTAATGTTAGTTTGATTTAGGCTAACATTATATCAATTGAGGGAACTATTGGTACTCATATCAAATTTAGTTGAAGATAAGTTGTGGAAGTTTGTGGAAATGGATAACTTGGTTCAAGTGGAAACAAGCACTCTGTTTGGATTAGCTACAACAGTGTGACTAAACAGCATCACACTTGTGTGGAAGTTTATTAAGATGACATTCATCTTCCCTCACTTCCTCCCTTTCAGGGTCGACCATCATCCATCTCCATCCCACGCCATCCTCAGCGTGCTCCTCCATCACAGCAGCCTGACAGCTGCTTCATATTCATCCGCATCTTTATCTGTTTATTTAGAAGCAACTTCCACTTTTAGCCGGGTAGCTCCATCTGCCGCATGCTTATTTCCCTTCCTGTGGATCCTGGTCACTCCCAAAGGAGACATGGCCACCTCCAGCTCAGACTCTGGCCAAGACTGTGGGGCTAATTGGCCAACTTTAGTAGAAAAATAACAACAAATGAGCAGATGCTGGACTGGAGGGGCTATTTTTCTATTTCTGCCCAATAGTATCAGTATCAGCTGTCTGTGCTGTTTCTAAATCCACTCGCTCCCCAA